AGGGGGGGTGCAGAGAGGCAGACAGACAGACAGACTGACAGACAGACAGACAGACCGAGACAGAGACAGAGACAGAGACAAAGAAAGAGACAGAGAAAGAGACAGAGACAGAGAGACAGGGAGAGGTGGGGGGTGTAAATCACATTGTGACATGGGGGCGGGGGGTATTCATCAATCCTGGACATCGCCAGGGAACAATGCAAGAAACCTTTAAAAATCGACAGAGAACTTGTTACGCAAGTGTTGAGGGGGAACAAAGGAGATACTGCCTCGTTATTCATGTGACCGCACATTCGCAGTAGGAGGTTGGCTGGGTGACTGTTAATCAGAACTAAATCTAGTTGACCCGAGATAGTCCAGCGGTTCGTTTTTTTAAATCCTGCAATCACGTAAGACGTAAGAAAGTATAACTCTAACAAATTTTCTAACGCAACTGATTATTGGCAGACCGTCATATTTCTCTCACGTGATGACTGTCTTTTGGCTTGACCAAAGCAACACGTCATGTGGGATTTTCTGCTGTTCAGTTTCCTTTGGTTAGTCGACGGTGCACAATTTCCAAGACGTTTGTTCAGTAAGACATTGTGTGTTGTTGTACACCAGCTGGAATATTATCCCTGTGCTTCAGCTTTGCTTCTGCGAATTTTCGTGGATCTCTGCGTTTTTTCTGGGATATTTGCATCTGGTCCATCTACGGAACGCACTGTGGTCACCTCCTGTGGGGACTTCTCAAAAGTTTAAGTGGAGTCCTGGGTATTGTTTCACACCAATTGGACTCTGTGTTTCAGCATTCGTGAAGTGAATTGTCCCGAGGTTTGTGCCTCTTCGAGTTTCATTCGTTTCGTAAGTCAACGAAGAGACCTTTTGTAACGTTTGAGTGAACTCATGTGTATTGTTTCACAACCTGCATTTTTCTAACTCTACTTCAGCGTTTTCCTTGTTTGAAATTTCCGCGGATCTTAACGTTTTTCTGGGATTTATTTGCAGAGCGCACTGCCGTCGTCTCTTGCGGGTGACAATTTCTCAAAACATTTGTTGAGTGAATTCCGGACAATTGTTTCCCTCAATTGGACTATCACAAGCTGCCAGTGTCGCTTTTTTTGTCAGACTACGGCGCGACATTCGGCCTTCTTTCAAATTTAGCAGAGGATAATTATTTCTAAAACGATTGAGGGAATTTTTGTTTATTGTTTTACACTCACACATTGGACAATTCCCTGTGGATTAACATTGCTTATATGAATTTTTCTGAAATCCTTCCTTTTTTTCTGGGATTTATTTGCACTTGAAGAATCTACACAGCGACCCTTCGTTCATCTCTTGTGGGGATAATTTCTTAAAAGTTTGTGTGAACTACAGATTTTCCAGAATGGCGTGTGTTCGTCTGCCGGAGTTTGTTGAGAGGCACAATGTGAGTGCGGCGGAGGCGTTAGGTGTGAGAGAGCTTCGTGTTCTGGGGAGGGGTGTGTCTTCAGAAGTGGTTTTGGCAGTAGAAAAGTCAAGCCCAGAAGGCAAGAAGAAAGCTCTGAAGAAGATCGTGTACGGCGAACGGGAAAGCCTTGCTGATAAACTCAAGAGATGGTCTTTCTTTCTGAATGAAGTAAACATCCTAAAAGAGCTGAGTCACCCGAACATTATTGAACTACAGAGAGCTCTCAGCTGTCGAGAAGAACTAGTTCTCGTGCTGGAGTTGCACGTCTCGGATCTAGCCAGTGCCCTACCTCATGTCACAGACTTTGGGGTCATTCGCTTCTTCACACAGTCCACCAGCGCCTTAACATATCTCCATCAGCGCCGAATTGTGCACGGTGACGTGAAGCCACAAAATGTACTCCTTCATCACACAGGAAAGATGGTCAGATTGTGTGACTTCGGTTTTGCTCAGAGACTACCTGAGAACAAAAAAAGCTGCAACACATATTCTGGAACCCCCGCCTATTTGGGCCCGGAGTTTACCACAGGTCAACCCGTTCAAGACGTTTATAAACTCGAGAGTTTCGCTCTCGGCAGGCTTCTGTGCTCACTGTTGTTTCGGGAAAAGGCGAAGTTGAACGTGGATTATCTCCCTTTGATCCGTGAGAACGCCACGATACCCGCCACTATGAAGGAATGTGCACAACGTTTGCTGGAACCTTCTCCGACAGAGCGCGCTACCGCCTGGCAGATAGATCAGTTCCTCACACAGACCTCCCCTGGGGCTCCATCGAATTGACGTAAATTGTTCCGATATAAATGTTCGTAATACGTATTTTGTAGTAAAAGGTACTGTAAAAACAAAAAACAAAAATAACGAAAAAAAACCCTACAACAATCAAAAACAGCAACCCAAAACAAACAATTTTCTTTTACACACACACA